CTCCTTGGGAGCCTGCTTCTCCCTCTGCCTCTCTCTCTCTCTCTCTCATGAATAAATAAATAAAATCTTTTAAAAAAAAAAAGCTGGACATGTAGACAGAGGGCAGGCTGGGGTTCACAGGCCTAGGCAAGACATTTGGATTTTATTGTAAGAACATTGCGAAGTCAGCAGAGAAGTAAAATAAGATAATCTGAATAATATTTCATCTTTTTTAATTTGGAAAATTTCAAACGTATACAAAGGAGAAGAAATTAATATAATGAATCCATCACACAGCTTCAGCAATTACCAGCTCATGATCCGTGATTAACATTTTGGAAAGACCAGTCTCCCTTCTTGTGGAGAATGGACCAGAGAAGGCCAACATGTTATAAGGAAAACCAGAAGACTATTCTAATAGTCCAATTATTTCTCAGTTGTGATTTGGCTTAGGGTAGTGTCATTAATAATAGGAGAAATTAATAATCTCAAGGTAAAACCAACAGCACTTGGTGATTGATTAATTGTGGAGGTTGGGCAAAGGAAGGAGTCAAAGATTACTCCAATTATTTTTGGCTTTAGCAACTAATGGAAATAGCCATTTATTGAAATAGGGAAGATATGAGTCACATTTTGGGGGTAAAACTAAAAATTCCATTTTAGATATGTTAGCTTTGAGATGTCTATTAGACATCAAAGTAGTGATGTCAGGTAGAGTTTTGACTACTGTGCAAAGGGGGAGTAGGGAGATCTGAACTACAGGCATGAATGCAGACCTCAGTAAGTAAATAGTATTTGAAGCCCCGCACATTGTTAGGGCTTGGAGTTGAGGCTGGTTGGCCAATGAACTCACAAGTGTAGGTAGTGTGCTACATGAGGGGCAAGTCTTTGGCTAATACCACAAGTGTCTCTGGCCCAATGAGTGGAGTTTAGTAGTAATTCTTGCTACAAGTTAAAAAAAAAAAAGTATTTGAATCCATAAGATGGGCTTCCAAAAAAGGAATTTACATGCCCAATAAGGATAGACATAGCAAAGTGTTACCTGTAAGCATCTGAGTTTGTTCTTTCTTTACTACTCTTCCCAGATATCTCTGGTTTCTGATCACCATTTACCCAGTTGTGATGATGATGTTGTAGTTATGTTTTTTTAAAGAGCCCATATGTTTTATAAATATATGCTGAAATATTCACGGGTGAAATACTATGCCTGGGATTTGCTTCAGAATAATGTAGGAGAGGGAAGTAGGAGTATAGATGAAATGAAATTGGCCATGAGCTGATAGTTGTCAAAGCCAGGTAGACAAGTACGCGAGGATCCTTATACTCTCCTGTCTGTTTTGTTTTGAAATTTTCCATAATAAAAAAGAAAAATAAATAGCAGGTCTCCTTTTGAAGAGGACTAGAAAGGTATTATTAATGATGGGAACTTAAAATTTGCTGTTATAGACAATGATTCTTTGGACTAGAGCATTCTTTCCTTGCCCTCATATTAGCCAGATTTTTCTGCCTATATATTAAGATATTCTTTTACATATGAAAGTAAAAGCAAATGCTGTTAATGCCAGAGAGAAGAAACACTAAATTCAAACCCTGTGGCTAAATCTGGGCCTCCATATTTCTTAAGTAGCTGATCCCTTTTGATTCAGAAATGTGATCTAACTGTGAAAGAATAGATATCTGAACAGCAAATACTAGAAAAGGTATACCTGGGCAACAAATCTTTAGTAACCTGATAAAATGCATTCTGTTGTGCAGCAGTATTTTGGTTACATAACATCTAGACTGATGTGGTAATTATTCCATCTAATTAGTTTATTTCATAAGATTGTTTTTATAGCTACCATATATTGAATTTCTTTTTTTTTTTTAGAGATTTTATTTATTTATTTGACAGAGAGAGACACAGCGAGAGAGGGAACACAAGCAGGGAGAGTGGGAGAGGAAGAAGCAGGCCTCCTGCCGATCAGGGAGCCCGATGTG